TGCAGCGCACCTGGACTCCAGGGGGGCGCGTGCCTCACTGCAGCTGCCCGCCCAGCGGCCCTGTACCCCAGCACCCCCAGGTCCACCAGACCCTCTCCCCAGGGCGCCAACTGTGACGGCTGCCCCCGAGATCACCGCACCCCAGCCCCCGCTGCGCCCGGGGCTCCGCCGAGGCCCTGCCCCTCAGCGCTCCTGCCTCCCCGTGAGGACACGGCATGCAGGGACAGCTCAGAGTGGCCACCGCGCTGGGCGAAGCCTGGGTCCCAGGCCCCCGGCGGGCTCCTGAGAAACAGGCCGTCCAGGAGGCGGTAGCTCGCCCCGGCGAGGTGGCCAGGCCAGCACAAGGGGCCACCCCGTCCCGGCCCTGGGGTCTCCGGAGGCTGGAGCCCCCATGGTCAGCAGCCTGGCAGTGGACACTCACGGATCCAGCGTCCGCAGGTGCCTGACACCCATCTGGAGGGCCCTCTGCGAGCAGGCCATCGTGGTCTCGTGGTCCCGGGCCACGTAGGCGAAGTGGGTGAGCCTGGCCAGCGCCTGCAGCTCCACCCCGGGGTCCGACCAGCTGCTCTCGAAGGCCATCGTGACCACCTGCGAGGGCAGCGGGGGCGGCGGTGGGCACAGGGTTGGCGGGAGCTGCCCGCCCGCCTGGCCGCACACTAGCTGCGCAGACCCAGGCGTGCTGGAGGCTGGCAGGCGGGGCCCCAAGTGTCCCCACGCCCACACCGCCCACTGCCCCAGAGGGGCACCCCAAGTGCAGCACTCTTTGGGGCCTGGCCTGCAGGACAGCGGCTCTGCCAGGGGAGGTTCTGGGGTCTCCCGGGCCCCCCAACCAGCCAGCCCTAACAAGCACGGGGCTGGGGTGTCTGCACATGGTCCTGCCCGCTGGCCTGGACACCTGGTGACCCGGGGCAGGGGCCGGGGGCCGAGGGAGGGGTGCAGGGCGACCCGGGGCGGGCCCCACCTGGGGCAGGGCGGGCACCGTGAAGTCCATGAGCCCCAGCCCGCAGCAGGAGTACATCTCCAGGGCCACGAGCACCCGCGTCACCGAGCTGACCTCCTCGCTGGCGCCCTGCGGGTGTGCGGGGGGCGTGGGGCGGCCCGGTGCGGGTTGCCAGAGGGGTGCAATTGGCCGGCCCTGGGGGCCCCTCCCGTGGCCGGGCTGCCTGCGGCCTGGGAGTGGCCCTCGGGCGCACCTGCTCCTCGGCGCCCAGCCGGGGCCCGATCTGCTGCTGCAGCAGCTGCTTGGTCTTCACCCAGGTGGCGATGAGCTGCTGCCGGGCCTGGATGGGCACCGTCTCCTCGGGCGCCGGCCCGCTGCCCAGGCTCAGCCCAAACTCGCACACCTGAAAGGCCGCTTGCCCGTGAGCCTGGGGGCTAGCAGGGCGATGGGCAGCGGCGCGGGCGGGCCGGCGAGGC